TTTCTAAATTTCACTCTTGCTTCTATCACTTGATCTTGCCCTTAGTCTGGAGAAAATAAATCAAACAGCAAACTCTGATTTGTGGGTTTTTAATAAAGAGGTGGAGATACACAGGTTTATTAGAACATGGTAACTCTGCCTTCATCTTCATTTAGACTGCATTTAGCCTGCATTTATTTGAGGTACATCTTAGAGGCCAGGCAGTGTGTTGTAGTAGTGCTATATTTTACCAAAAAGGTAAGAAAGAATGTAAGTGTTAATATCATAAAACTCTTCTTGCACTTAGCTTGGCATCCTCTTGTCAACAGAAAAGTTATCCATCCGCATTTGTGTGTGTGCAAGTGTGTGCTTGGATGCATGGTCCAGAGCCCAGACTGCTCAGCTCTGGCAAGATAAAATTCTTCACAGTTTCATCATAAAACTATTCTAAGAGAATAAACCCATCAAGGACATATCTTCAAACTCTGCCTGAGAGTTTGAGGAATTGACAACTAGAGAGGGGTTAGGAATTTTCATAAAGCACTCACAGCTTCTGGTTGCTGTCTACTTCCTTTTAACTTGATTTGCCATGAATACTTTTATAGTCAGTATATTGCCATTTTGTACACAGACTGTATACATTTGCATACCAGTTTTGCCATTTCATGAATATGAAGTGTTATTTAAACTCTACTTCTTAATCATCTAACCTCTATAATGCTAATAACAGTAATATCTATCTCACATTATGTGTGATGATTAGGAAGTGGATTAAAATGTAATCCAATTTTAAAACATTTTTTCTATGTTCAAATATAATTTAATTTTGAATTATATTTTTGTGTTTTAGTCTTTCATCATGCCCCTAAACAGGATTAAGATTAAGAGATCCTTTGCTTTGCCAGTGCTTCCAGGCCACAGAAGTCCAGCTATTCAAGCCTCTGAGATAAACCAGATAGACTCAATGTATTCATTTTTTTATGAAGTGAAGTCTCTCAGTACATTTTTTTTTGTTTTCAAATTTGGTGTCAAATTTAGTGTATTTTAATGTTTTCAGAAAAGAAACATTGTTAAGCCTTTTTGTGCACATCTAATTTACTTATTTTTTTAAAACCTGAATTAAGAAAATTAAAGACAAATTAAGCACCTTGTCATTTCCTAATGGCATTACTGAAATGTACTGAAATAATTGTTTCCTCAATTCCAATAGTAGAGACTTGTCCATCCCTGTAAAGCATTAGGTAAAATAAGGCCGAAAAAAATTGACCAACTTAAAACTATAAGTTTCCCTGACTCGACAAGAGATATTTGGCTTAGGAACTGAGATGATATTTATGGAGTCTTTGAAAATCAACCATTCTTTAGAATGTTTTTCTCCCTATGGATCTTATCTCTGTAGTACTTTTAGTTCTGGAGAAAAGTGAATTTGAATTGACATGTAGTGCAGTAAGACTGTAATTACAGAACTCTGACCAAACTTACACTTTAAAAAAAAAAGTGGAAACATGCATGTTCTAAAGTCTTTATGCATATATGAACATACAAAGGACAGAAAATAAAAATATTTCCCCAAATCATTTAATCATGAAATTTTATGCGATTTCTGAAGGCCAGGATACATTATCCCCATTACTTAGTATCTTACTGTTGGAGACTTCCTGGAAGTATCAGCATCTGTACATTAAATTTCTTTTTTTTTACGATTATTAGTACATGTTTGCAGTACAAAATGATTGCATTCATCGTGGGGAGTTGGTACGTGTGCGTAACACATCTTAATTAGTTTTTCATTTCCCCACCTTCTCTTACTCCCCCATCCCTCCTCCCGTAAGGTTTGTCCCTGTAACTTTTTGCAAAAGAGCTATCTCCTTGTTTCCTATTACCTATCTTATTTTGGATTTCTCATATAAGAGAAATTTAAGTGATATTTAAGCTTCTGTAACTGATTTATTTCATTTGATATATCTCAAGGTGCATCTATTTTCCTACAAAAATTGAAATTCATAAATTTCTTTAACATAACTGCAATTCATTTTTTCATTGTGTAATTCTTAGATCTTTTTCATATTCTGTCTTGGGAGTTAAGAGCTTCTGAAAAAGAAAGGAAATATATCGCTCATGTCTTATTGATCTTTCTGTGATATCTACACATTTTTTAATTGATTGACTAGAATATAAGATTAAAGAGAAAAGTCTATGTACCAGAAAGTATTTCCCATATTGAGGAAGATATTTAGAAGTAACACCTAAGTGCAATATAAACCACAACTGAAATAAATGATGAGAAAGTATAAAAATCAGTTAATGGAAACATGAGGTTGGACTAGAGGGTTATGAAAAGGAAAGCATGAAAATAATTGCACTTAAGAAAGAAGAAACCAGGCCAGGGATTTAGCTCAGTGGTTCCGGCGCCTGCCTCATAAGTGGAAGGACCCAAGTTTGATCCCTGGTACCAAAAAAAAAAAAAAGAAAGAAGAAACCAAGAAAGTTTCAAGATTCAGTTACAAAAAATATAGTGATTTGATTATATATGAAAATATAATGAAATATTCAAAATAAATTAGTATGTGAGCACATGGAAGGAAAATAATACTTTAATCCAGTCACTTGGTTTGTTGAAAATTTTAAGCAAAAATATTTGCATAACATGCTGCTTTACAGTGGAGAAAGATTATTTGCTTATTTTGATACCAAAATGAGTTTAACACACTTAACCCATGTTCAGAGAATTGTTTCTGAATGAGAAAAATTATAGGATGAAAAATGGAAATAAAATTTAAATACCACAACTCTGTTAGAGTCTATGTTTATGAAGAGGATTTTATTCAATGCATGCAGTTTTACCTTAAAATCATCAGAACACAACTTTGTATTTTATTGTTCAAGGGACACAATGATTCTTAGGAAATCTATAATCATATTATTTAAATAAATGTAGTATATATGGTGGCTAAAACAACCTGCTCTGCTAACCTACTTGTTGTGGCCTATATTTAGAAACACATCATTTTGAAGAATTTTTCCTACACATGAAAAGATTATATTAAGTTACTTAAAATATATGCAGTTACTTAAGTTACTTAAAATATATGTATGTTCAACAGGACTAACAATAATATGAACATTAAGCAGAAGGAATGAAAACCTAAATCCTGTAAATAGACAATGGAAAAGAAGTGCATGAACTTGAAGAAAAAGTGCATACAACTTTCTGTTTAAAATAGTGAAGTAAGAGTGTTTATACCCTTTTCTCTAAAGTCACATCACAAAAATAAGCCTATGAAGAAACAGACTAATTAATATGTGACAAAACTAGAAGACGTAGATCCCCTGGTCTCAGAACACTGAAAAGTGGTAAGGCATCTCAGAACAAAAAAGGTAAATCCTTAGTGTTTGCCAAGGAGATGGCAATGGACAGCAAACATCTTGCATTCTGCAGAATTCTGGAAAGGCTTCTTAAATTGAAATGATTGGTTACTGCAAAACAAGGAGGTGGAAATAGGTACCTCAGAAATATCTGTAATAAAAAGTTAGAATCTTATCTTTCTGTCTCCATCTGCCTGCATCCAAACCTTGTGGGAGACATAAAATATATGTCCTAGATAAATTGCATCAGGGAGGTCCAGGATTGGAGAGGACAGATAAAGGACATCTCTTTGGAGGGAGACGGGATTGCAAAGCATAAGGTAAAGAAAGCTGAACTGATCCTGAGAAAAAAATTCTTGTATACTCACAGGTTAGAGCCCTCGTCTGATAAAAAGACAGATTAGCTGACTAGTCTACTATTACCTGATTAATCTATTAGTTTTCAGTGTTGATATTATTTGTGATAGTAAATGCTGCATCACGCATTAATATGTAACTTTAAAATCTTATGTCTCAACAAGATAGAGGTGTTTGTCTCACTCAAATGAGGCCCAGTAGGGTGGGCCCATTTCTCCTGTCCTGTAGCTATGACTTGCAGCATGTGATCTCTGAAGGCCTCATGGCGGTAGTTGAGACGAAAGAGGGAACACACGGGTTTTTAATTGTTTCAGTCCAGAAGCGACACACTCAGCGTCCATTGTTCCACATCATTCAAATGGGACACATCAGAGAACACATGGAATATCAGATAGCCACGAACTTCCCTACAACTTTACAAATTTGTGTCCTTGTTTTTGAAGAACATTTCAGCTTATTCCTGTGCATCGGCCATAAGTTTTTTTGTTTATTTGTTTTCCTGAACAATTAAAATTCACTTTAAATTCCAAAACTAACACCTATTACCTGGTTTTATGATCTAGCACTGACAGGACTAAGAATACGGAGATGCACATGATTCGTGCTATATAGTCTCTGCTCTCAAGGTTATTCTTCCACTTAATCTCTTCTTTCACATTGGCTTTGAAATAATTTCCAGATCATTCTCTCTTAAGGTTTGTATTGGTGGGTGTAATGAGGCCAGCTAATCAAAGATTGTATAATAAGTTATTGATTTGTAATCAACAGGATCTATGTCTCTTTCACAAATGTTTAATTTCAGATATCTCTCCTATCTTGAAAACTGTTCCCCATTTCCTTTTTAACTAAAATAATTGTTTAGAATGCTTTTCTTCATTGTAGTAACATTGAAGAATCTCTAATATGCTCTATAGATAAGTAACTGCAAATTCATCTATTTCTTAGTATTACCTTCTGGTTTATTTCTGATGTTCACTGAAGCAGGTTTGTAAATTAATATGACTATGAAATGCTTTATAGAAAGTTTTGTGGCATTATCAGTTGAAAGCAATTATCCAGGAAGAGTTTTTATATCTAAGTCAGTCTTGCAAATGAATCTCATATACTTTTTGAAAGGAAATAATTTTTCTCATTTAAAAAGATGTATTTATTCTTGGAAATACAATACTTTTATATCTGTCCCTAAATCCATAGCTTGATTTGCTTATACCAGTGGTACATCTCATGTTTAGATTTAGATTCTGAGAGTATTAATCGATTCTCTATAATGTTTGGTTTCCTTATGTTTTCTTTTCCAGAGTACCCGAGTGGCCTTGGGCCATCTGGAGTCTGTACCTCAGAAACTGAGCCTACTGGAAGATATCAAAGACTTTCGAGTAAGAAAGAGTTGGCTTGTCTCTTTCAGTATTTTTACCTGAATGAGAACTCTTGACATCTTCCTGATGTGCAGAGAAAACTGTTGGAAGGGAGGAAGGACTGAAAAATGTTAGGGACTTTTAACACTACATGCTCTCAGAGTTTGTTAATATTTGTGAAGTCAGAATGGAAAATAAAATTTAAGTACTGGCAAAATATAGGAAAATAGAGACTCTTACCCCACCACTAGAAGTTCATTTGTCCCCCTAAAGCTGTAACAATAGCTTAGAAAAATGTGATAATTAAAGGGAGTTACCCATTACATTGACAATAGATAACTTTTTGATTAGCAAAATTGTAACTTGTGAATTATGTTCTTTTTTACAAACTGCTATTTTAGCGCTAGAATAGTTTACAGGTTATCCCTATATTGTGATACATCAATTCAAACCCACACAGAGTTTTAGATACCATATCCCATGCCATTTATTGATAGAACTCTAACCACAAAGCATTTCATTATTAAGCCAATTAATTGCATGTGTAGATTTACCTGCTGCACATATATTAAGTTCCTCACAGAAGAGAGGTGAAAACAAATAACGCTGCCATCCAGTCCGACCGGAAGAGGCCCTGGCCAGAGAACTTCTTCATACATCCCCTTACGAATGCAAATGTACATTTTTAGCAATTTATACATCATTTGCAAGGTCAGTATAGTTAATATGACTCATGTAAATAAATGAACAAAGCTAACAGTGGTGAGGGTTTCACTTTGTAAACCATGTAACTTGTTGTTTTGCATTGACCTTAAAAAATAGCTGAATGAGATTCTGTTTAAATCTGACACATTGTTTGAGAATTCCGTGGGTGGGAAACAGCCAGATTATGCCATATGGATTTATTAGAAGCACTGATTTCATGTGGCTCTCAAAGCCTACACTGTTTTAAAATTTCCTTACACTAAGTATTTTTTCTTTGTAATTTGGAAATTAAACATTTTTGAGTGAGATCCAGATTAAGCTGACACATCATGAAATCTAGACTGGTACAAATAGGGCAAAACCACGTGTTTCTAATATATTTTTAAAGTTCAGAGTCTTTCTCATGATTTAATTATGCTTTTTGTAGTTTAAATCCCAACCAAAGAATTATGAAACCAGCATCTAAGACCATATAGTTTCTATTTCACCCTGATAGAACCCAATGTACATAGCAGGGACTGTGTTATACCTGTATCCTGTCTCCTTTTTGCTCTTTAGTAACAGAAGTCATCTAAGTAAATGAAGGACAGGAAGCAGTATTGGAAACAGGTGGCACTTGTCACTGAGAAGCAGATGTCTGTGTTACATCAGCATAAAAGATAAGAGTTTAACCTCCAGTGACAGCATACTTTTCCCAAGTGGTCTTCACTGAACTCAGTGTTCATAAGTACAATTCAAAAATTGTGTTCCCTACTATTGCTAGGTTTATCGTTATTTTTATCCTAGTTAATTGTCACATAATTATCTACAATTCTAGTTATGTATACAGATATTGTATACATATGTAATTATCTATAAGTCTAGCTTATACATGTAGAAACTTACATAAAAATGCCTTTATAGTGAAATTTTAAGCATTTTCAGAATTCAGAGCTATACTGTCTAATAATTTAAAGTGAAGCCTATAGCTTGAAAAGGAAAAGAGATTAATTAGCAAATATATACATACTGTGCAGGAAACAGTAGCTAAATACATTACACTTTTTGTAATTTCAGAGATACCCTATATGGATTATTTTTCCTATTTTACAGATGAGGAAATAGAAGCTTAGAGGGTGTATACTTCTTTTGCTTTCCCCTGGCACCTCTTGAAATCCATTCACTTAAATCACTTTCATGAAAACAAATAGACATAGTCTTAGATGAGACTCCATAAATCCTTCATATTAATAAAGATGGATTTTATTTTTCAAATCTCTAAAACTCTCTAAAAATTAGCATGCTGTGAACAAGTGGCAAAGCCCTAAGTTCTTGTCCGCATTCAACATACAGACAAAATCACTGTGTCAGGAGATACTTTCTCATCAATAAAGTGAGGCACTTGTTTGGTTTCTACTCACACTAGCATTGCTAGTATATGTGTGAAAATATACTTGACAAGTATATTTCTTGATAGTACTGTAGTCTGTGGCTCAAAGTATGAGTACAAAGCTCATTCTGTTTTGATAGGCTTAATTTTATTGTCTAAATGTTATATTCTCTCCCCTCACCTCCTCCTCCCACCTTGCCCTTCTTTCCTCTCCCCCACTCCCTTTCTTTAACTATCCCCCTCCTCTGTGCAAGCACTAAAATCCCATATTTAAGTATCACATATTTGATAAGACAGAAATTGAGTAACATTGGGTTCCAAACCCCGATCTGCCACAAATTACCTAGCACTAGGCAAATTATTCATAGCTTCCATGAGCTTCTTTCTTTTGTTTTTCTTATAAAAATGTGAACTTTGCAATTCTAATTCCCACCGAGCTTGAACATTCAGTGGGTTTAAGGTTCCTTGCAACTGTTTGAGGCACTAAATGTCATAGATGATTTTCTTACCAAAATCATTTGCCCTTATTTTTTTTTCTAAATTCTCCCTAAATCATGAAAGTAACGTCTAAATAATGACTATACTGACTCTGTGCTTTTCCTTTCTCCTCCACAAACTGAAAGGGGAAAAAAGAAAGGCCTTCAGAATTTTTGCTTTCTTACTTTATTTCCTGAATTTGTTGTGCTTATGAAGGCAAATGAGATATCCCTCAGTTTTAAAATGAGTATGACATTAAGTTTAAAAGGCATAATGTTAAGACTAAGTGACATAGAAGGGATTTAGTTTTAATAGTAGCACTTTTTTTCTTTTAACAGAGAGTGTTTGATGCTGAGCACTATTCCAAAAGATAGTATACAACATCAAAAAGTGGCATGATGTCATTAATGACCATCTTCAGATGACTAATTGTCTCTCAAGCCTTTCTCCTTTCAATTAATGCATACCAGCCATTTCAGTATGGCATCAGCACTAGTTGTAAAGAGAATCTAACTAAGCAGTATGGGACTCATTTTATGTTACTATCCACAGCGACCATTATCTTCTTTCTTTCCTTTGTGGCTTGTTTTCCTCTGTATGTCTTTCTACATCACTGAAATCATTTGTTATCTACATGTCTGTATTTTCTTACACTAACTGTAAGCCCTGAATTTTTCTTTCATCCACCAGTTTAAACTCTTCTTTGGTTTTTTTCCAGGATTCCCGCTGTTCCTCTGAAAGAATTGATGGGAGATATTCTAAATACAGAGTTCACAGAGATTCTCTTAAGCAATGCCAAGATGATACCAAGTACAGAATCAAAAGCTTGAAGGTAATGTTCTTTATGACTTGGAGTGTTATCCATGTCTCAGTCTACAACCACTTAAGCACCCCTTGCAGTGTTTGTGTAAGGACCCTTGTGAAAGGAAAGATTTTCCTTGAAGATTGTGCTTATCGTTTTTGGTGTGGGAACTAACCCTTAAGACTGTGCCATTGTTACTTGATGTGTTGTCTTTGAGAGTTGATGCTGCTCAAGATGTCTTGAACTAGGAAACTTCTGGTTGCTTTGATAGTCAAAGTCTGTGTGGATGGTTGCTGTCCTGCATGTTTAAATCCACCTGCTCTTAACACTGAAGTCCCCTCAAGGTCAAGTAACACACAGTACTTTGTAAACTATAGTCTTAGCATTTTAAGTCATTCTTCTCCTAGGTGTATGAACTCCATGCTATACTTTAGCTTATGATTTGTATACAAGGAACCAATGTACAAAGACTGGAAAATATTGAGCATATTGTCAAAATGTATACCATTCCCTAAGCCTGACCGATAGCCATCTGTGGTTGGTGATAAACCCATTTGGCCTTAAATAGTTCTTAGCCTGGAACAAATTCCCAACCTCAATATCAGAACATTTTGGGCCAGAAATTTGGCATAAAGTTCATAGCATGTTTAGCAGCATCCCTAGATATACTGAGTAGATGCCAGTGACATCCCAACTTGTGACATCTAAAAATGTCTCCAGATATTGTCAGATAGCTCCTGAAAGACAAAACTGCCACCTCCCCCC